TTATACGTACAGATCGGGAATAAAGCGGTCAGTTTATTCAACATTTCACATTTTCCCGGTTTGTCGCGGTATAAGTCTTCTTCAACTAGACACGAGGCAGAAGGCCGAGGTTTATAATTGTTAACCCTCTCAAACTACTACAAATACTATACTTGTTTAGGTGCAATCATTCATCATCCCTGGCATGTATAGTACTTTCAGAATACTATTTAGGACTGAACATGACAGCCTGAGTTACATAGCATAGTTTACATAGTCTCTCTGCGGCCGTAGACCCGAAAAACATGCACGCCCAAGTCAAGCTTCTTATGAGTCACGTGTGTCATACGTGAACATGTCATGGTAACGTGACCCGACTTGTCGTGACTTAAAACGCACGATGGCAATTGGTATGGCGGCGTTATCGATACAGACTCAAAAATCCCTTAAAATACAAATACAACACCTATATTTTGTTTACACATAATTGAGAGTCGAATTTGAAAGTACGTGTGTTTGTGGTTAAATCTGCGAAGGAAGTTGATGAAAGGACATGTTAAAGGTAACAACATATCTGAGAATTTCTGAGTGGTGAAAATCGACGACCAGGAATTGCGCAACTTCTCATATATGCATACTTTGTGGGAGTGTGTACATTTCTGAAATGAATATACGCTCTTATTCACGCGTGACTATGACGTAATCCTACTCAGTCAGTGCAACAGTCAGGTGATTGAAAGCGCCATCGAAATGGGCAATAAAAGGAAATATTCTCACAAAATACAATGTATTTCATGAAAAACGGAAGTGATTAGTTTCTCACACTTCCGGAAATCTGAGAATCTTCTCTGAAATACGGACTACCAACGACATAAAATGCTTACGAAATCTTCTTTAGAACGACTTTTAATCTATTGAGATTTAGTAAGAATAGTATTATTATTATGAATGGTCACGTGATTCGACCAAGCTACCTTTTGAACTTTCATCTTGTGTATGCTTGTGAACTCTAGCAAATATGGGTTAATGGGACGCGTGTCATTGAACCGTATATCTGAGTTGCATCAATCATTGGTCGCGCGCCTACGGGCTCGGTTGTCACGTTAAACATGATTAATTGCGTAAAGTTGACTTGAAACTGATATGACGAGGGTATCGACCTAAATGAACTCAAATATTGTTTATACCTTCCTACTGAACACCGAAATCATATTTACATGAGAGCTGACTTGTCGAATGTATTTCTTGATTTATTTATTGAGTGACAGTTGAGTCGAAGCAGAATTTGATACGTCGAACACACCTGTCAACAAACAAGCCTTCTGATTGGTCTTACTGTTAGGAGTTAAGGCTCGACAGCCAATCAGACACAGTCTTGTAAATAGCTTCACATTGTCTCCACAGTCAGCCTGACTTAAAGAAATTAATCCAAAGAAATTTGAGATCTAAATACATTTGATTTCTTTTCCACGTCTGAGCATTGCAAATTTGTCACCCTTCCTCGGGGCAATTCTAATAGTATTTTTTGTTGTATGGTTTGTATGATTATATTTTGTGCCTTATAGAGGACGTTATGTTTTTTGCAATATGCCGTTTATACATTAGGTTCGATTTTTGTCACGGGGTTATTTTCACAACGTCCATCAAAATTGGCAAAGTTTCAACGTCATTTTGTTTTCAACGATTGGTTAATTTTTTAACGGGAATGGTCTTCGTTGGGGGCGCTCTATGTTGAACAGGTGACCTATCCATACAGTTTTATTTAGTTTTATATAATTTAGTGTTTTTTTTTTCAATTTTAAGGCAAAATTATCAATATCCACCACAAGAGTAATTCAATAATGACAATGACAATTTGAAATTCCACGGCAACATTTAAGTGAAACACAAACAAACACACCGAAGCCACGTACTTGGCTTATCTATCAATCCTCGGGGCGGACATCCAGGCATTTTCTACCGCCTGGCAACCCTCGCGG